TGTTGAGAATATTATTCTTTAAAATTCCTATTATCTCGATGACCCATGAACCAGCAGTGATATCGCCTGTACTCTCAGGCTCCATCTCAGAGCTACTGAATTAGAATCTGCATTTAAACAGCATCAAGGGATTGATGATAGACACATTAAAATCTGAGAAATGCTGGTCTAGATGACCCTCCAAACCAGAAATATGATTCTATGAGATAAGAGTGAGAACCTGATTTTACTAAGGTTAATGGCTAATCATTTTTTAAAACTTAATGCATAGGTTTGGATAGCTATATATTTTCTGTTAAAAACTTGCTTATATATTGAGGAAGAAGGAATACCCTGGAGAAGGAGGCGCAGCTGGCGGTCGGTCACAAGACAAAGGGAGAAATGCATTCAGTATTTCCTGCCAGGAGTTTGGACTCTGGGGAGGATTGTTTTCAAAAGGCCTGAGTGGTAAAGGGTGAAATAATTTTGCAGTTACCCTGTTTCTGATCAGGTTTGGTAATGTGATTTGTTTAGGGTGAGTATAAATGATCAGAAACAAAGAATGATCTGAAAAATCGGCAAGCCTTGCCAAAGTTTAGCTCGAAAAAGAGGAACTTATGTAATAGTTTAGACACCTTTGATGGACATTTCACCTACGCTGAGAAGAAACATGTTTTGTGCCTTTCAAAATCACCCTTAGATGATTAAAGCCTTCGGGACTTTTCAGGTTTTACCACTGAAAGTCTTGTGTTGCTAGGAACACCTCAGTCCTGAGCAAACTGGGATGGTTGGTCACTCCTGCTTAATGAAATTTAAGAACTGTTCGGAGTGAACCATCCTAACTGCTTTGCAGGGACATTTTAGGATAGTCTTGTCCATTATGTTCTCAATTAGGCTGAGAAGTGTTTTTAAAAGTGTTTCACTACAAGCCTCAGCAAGTTCTTTGATTTTGTTCAGGAGAACAAAACCTCCCTGTTTCCAAGGGCGTGCCCATCAGAAAAACCACGCTCGTAGTTACTGGTTGGTAGCAGGCAGCATTTGCATGCAATGCCTGAACAATATCCCAGAGAGGAAGGGAAAGGTCCTGGTGATTCATACCTAAAACTAAAACTTGTGACCGGATTCAAACCTCCCATTTCCCACACAGCCTTTTTTTCTGGCTTGCTGTGCACCACTTTCAAAAGCAAACCACACCATCAGGGCTGAATTGAGGCTGGGGAAAAAAAAGACATGATTGAATTCAACATCCATTTTGGAAAACTAGGAAAGAATACTTTCTCAATATCATAAAGACTCTATTGTTCAATGAGCATCTTATGTCATATTGGACTCTGAAATATTAGCCATCTTCCTATTAATATAAAAAGAAGGCAAGACTGTCTACCAGCACCATCACAATTTAATATGGTTCTGGAAACTTTGAAGCTATTAATAAATAAGAGTTATAGCTTTTGTAAAGGAAGAGGAAATTTATTTACTAATAGGTAATATAGTGATAAAAGAAAGTCCCACAGTGGCCAAATCTGGCTTTGGTTGGTGAGTTGATTGGGGGAGGGAGGAGGGCTTGGGACTTGTCCTGAAGTTGTGATTACAGGGCAGCATGTGAATCTTAGCAT